AGCTATTAGTCGTCTTAACACACTATTTACACAAATCTGGCTCTTCTTCGCTTGTGCTTCTGCCGTTTCTACCAAAATTTGATGGGTGAATTTGTCACCGATCAGACCCCGGCCTAAGGACGGAAACAATTGCCTCCACCTACTGCAACAGATCTCCGTCGCCGTCGTCCGGTGAGGCCAGTATTCCAGTCCTACTCACAAAGAAATGTGTCACTCTGTAAAATATCCTTTTTTCAGTCACTCTGTACCTGAAATCTGCACTGTGTCCGATCTGCTAGGTAGATGCTTCCTCCATCCAGTCAAGAACGGCCATATCTATTTATACCGCTTCCTCAGACAATTGCCCGTGATCTTCTACCTCTTTCGTACTGCATCGGTGTCTCTTCTTTGCTTGTGCTTCTGCTGTTTCTACCAAAATTTGATGGGTGATTTGTCACCGATCAGACCCCGGCCTAAGGACGGAAACAATTGCCTCCCCCTACTGCAACAGATCTCCGTCGCCGTCTTCCGGTGAGGCCAGTATTCCAGTCCTACTCACAAAGAAATGTGTCACTCTGTAAAATATCCTTTTTTCAGTCACTCTGTACCTGAAATCTGCACTGTGTCCGATCTGCTAGGTAGATGCTTCCTCCATCCAGTCAAGAACGGCCATATCTATTTACACCGCTTCCTCAGACAATTGCCCGTGATCTTCTACCTCTTTCGTACTGCATCGGTGTCTCTTCTTTGCTTGTGCTTCTGCTGTTTCTACCAAAATTTGATGGGTGAATTTGTCACCGATCAGACCCCGGCCTAAGGACGGAAACAATTGCCTCCACCTACTGCAACAGATCTCCGTCGCCGTCGTCCGGTGAGGCCAGTATTCCAGTCCTACTCACAAAGAAATGTGTCACTCTGTAAAATATCCTTTTTTCAGTCACTCTGTACCTGAAATCTGCACTGTGTCCGATCTGCTAGGTAGATGCTTCCTCCATCCAGTCAAGAACGGCCATATCTATTTATACCGCTTCCTCAGACAATTGCCCGTGATCTTCTACCTCTTTCGTACTGTATCGGTGTCTCTTCTTTGCTTGTGCTTCTGCTGTTTCTACCAAAATTTGATGGGTGAATTTGTCACCGATCAGACCACCGGCTGCTGGACGGAAACAATTGCCTCCCCCTACTGCAACAGATCTCCGTCGCCGTCGTCCGGTGAGGCCAGTATTCCAGTCCTACTCACAAAGAAATGTGTCACTCTGTAAAATATCCTTTTTTCAGTCACTCTGTACCTGAAATCTGCACTGTGTCCGATCTGCTAGGTAGATGCTTCCTCCATCCAGTCAAGAACGGCCATATCTATTTATACCGCTTCCTCAGACAATTGCCCGTGATCTTCTACCTCTTTCGTACTGCATCGGTGTCTCTTCTTTGCTTGTGCTTCTGCTGTTTCTACCAAAATTTGATGGGTGAATTTGTCACCGATCAGACCCCGGCCTAAGGACGGAAACAATTGCCTCCACCTACTGCAACAGATCTCCGTCGCCGTCGTCCGGTGAGGCCAGTATTCCAGTCCTACTCACAAAGAAATGTGTCACTCTGTAAAATATCCTTTTTTCAGTCACTCTGTACCTGAAATCTGCACTGTGTCCGATCTGCTAGGTAGATGCTTCCTCCATCCAGTCAAGAACGGCCATATCTATTTACACCGCTTCCTCAGACAATTGCCCGTGATCTTCTACCTCTTTCGTACTGCATCGGTGTCTCTTCTTTGCTTGTGCTTCTGCTGTTTCTACCAAAATTTGATGGGTGAATTTGTCACCGATCAGACCCCGGCCTAAGGACGGAAACAATTGCCTCCACCTACTGCAACAGATCTCCGTCGCCGTCGTCCGGTGAGGCCAGTATTCCAGTCCTACTCACAAAGAAATGTGTCACTCTGTAAAATATCCTTTTTTCAGTCACTCTGTACCTGAAATCTGCACTGTGTCCGATCTGCTAGGTAGATGCTTCCTCCATCCAGTCAAGAACGGCCATATCTATTTACACCGCTTCGATAGTCAATCATTTAGTTAAGGGAAAAGGTTGGAGACCTCAGGTAATTGTCTAATGAAGCAGTGAAAACCGACATGGTCGTTCTTGTATGAATGGAGGAAGCATCTTCTTAGCGGATCGGACACAGTGCAAATTTCGCGTACATCTATTTAGTAATGTAGTACGTGGGGGAAATTGAAAGTGTTTTCATTCTTTCTAAATCTTGATTTAAGATGTGAAACCCACCAAAAAAATTAAGGTGTTAAATGAAACGCTCATCATCTAATTTAGATGGGTGGCGGCACAACGTATATTTACTAACGTTGTTAATTTTGTGTCAAGGCAGACGAGCAAGAAGGGTAGGCACAGCCTTTACCATAGCAACGAAAAGCGGGATTCTCTTGCTCCTCGTCAAGTTTGCATACATTACACCGTTACAAATAGGCTAGTTTTAAAGCTGCACGAGCTGCTATTTTCGAAGGTGGACTAGTTCTTAACATTAATGATCAAGAACATCGTGCTGACATGTTCTCCTTTGTGTTTAGGACTCGGTCACAAGGCGAAGATGTTGATGGAATTATCACCAAGTAGATTGGCAAACTTGCCATCAGGAATTGACGCAACAAGAGAAGGAGATGCCGAATCTTTTTCGATAGAGTTTCGCAACCGCCCTTATAATTATCTTAATGAAGATTTGAGATGATTAAGACGTTTAGTGCACTAGTGCATACTTCGTTGTTATGGTTCGAAGCTTTACTAGCATCTGATCGAATATGTAACAGGGTTACACGCGGCTATTAAACCGGTTATGCTCTACACCCAAAAAAGAATGTAGATCTGAGTGGTTACAATATTGGTACCATGTACTTACGGTAATACCGCACCTTATCGGTTATATATTAGACTTTGGTAATAGGATCATAATTAGAGACATTCCTGAAGGTGTTTCACACCATTAGGCTTAATGGGTGAAACCCTATTATTTTGAAGTCAGACAAGGATTTAGGATTTCAATATCATAGCTAAAGAATAAAAAATGTTTATTTCCCCTTTTGAGTTGTTGGACGCTAGTGCCTAGTCAAGGCGTAGTGTGTTGTTAAGATCATTATCCTTGTAAAGGCGCTTACTCTTGTTTAACTAGTAGTGACTCGTTAGTGTGTGATTCTGTGTGTAACGGGGCACACTGAATGTAACGGGGCACCCTGAAGCTTGTACTGGTGACAGTACAAGTGTAATGGGGCAACCCATTATATTAAGTAGTCATAGTTTTATTACATAATTACATACATTAAGTGTAGGCAGTATCCGGATAGCGGATACTGCGCGTCTATTTATTATTGGTTTATTATTGGGGTGCCAGACCCAATAATTAGCCAATAATAGTTAGTTCTGTATTTGAGTGGTTCCCATGAGCTAGGGAACATATTCGCACTTACTGCGAATTATAAAAAACACAAAAATACAAACAGAGTTAAATTTACCTTATAAATCACAGCGCTTCCTCAGCTTAATTATTAGTGTAAGATGGTAACGGGCTCTCACCCCGTTACACCTGGTAGCACTTCGTAGTCCTTCCCATGACCAAGTTCGAGATGGATATGAGTGAATCTTCGATGGCTCCAGCAGTTTCGCTGGAGCATGCAGATTTTCCGCATCTCACTACGGTAGAATGGCAGGCATTACACCGCCTCGCGGCGGTGTCTGGTGAAATCTTCGTGACGTCGCTGCTGAGCACAGCGACGCCCGAACAACACCGTGCCGCCATTCAAGATTACATGGTGCGCGAGCTCGCCGAAGCGAACCGGCGAGTACATACTCCCTCGCGCCCCTCCCATTACGATGCAATTAAAATGGAGACGTCGACATACTCTGGTGATGGTCCAGATCGTCTCCCCCTTAATCGCTGGTTTAGGGAGATTGATATCGCCATAGCGTCAAGGTTGATTGACGCTCCGACGGCCAAGGTTAATTTCCTACTGTCTCGGCTTGTTGGTAAAGCCAAAGAATGGGCTCTTGGGAAGCTCGTTGTAAACGAGTTGGCATTCCCCACGCTGGACGATATCCAGCGCGACTTACGACTGGCGTTCGAGCCCCCTCAAGATGAGTCACGCTTGCGCGCAGATTTCTTTTCACTTCGACAGGGCAAGCTGTCGATGCGTGATTACGTACAGAAGACGCGACATCTTGCTTTGTGTATCATCACGCAGCCGATCGACATGGATTCGCAAGTTCATGTCTTTGTCTTTGGTATGCAAGAGGGCATGACCCGCTATTGCCTCACACGTGCTGAACCTAAGACTCTTGAGGAGGCATTTGCCCTCGCGCTTCGTGAAGATTACACGGTCGCATCGTCATATTTGCAGGCAGCGTCGCAACGCCCGCGTACGTCTGGCCCAGAGCCTATGGAAATTGACGTTATCGATGCATCTCGTGGTCGCGGCAAGCAATTTGGCCGTGAAATTCGAAGTCAAAACACGATGTAGTGTTATCGGTGCGGCAAGACTGGCCATCGTGCGGCCGTCTACCGAGCACCAGCGCCGGTGTCCATGAACACAGCTGTCTCACGTGGAGATACTGTGTCGTCGGTGGTCCCGCCAAAAAACTAGCGGTTCCAGTAGGTGCGGGGCGCCCTACTGGCAGTAATGGAGCCCCGAGTACTCAGGTGGCAGCTCGGCCTCCTAGCCGTAAAGTGATACATACCCACTTCAATGCCACCACTATGCGCGACGATTCGAGACTGATAATTATCAGTCTCATCGTTGCTGGAGTAAACGATCACTCCGAGCGTTGTTGGATTCGGGTGCATCCAAAACTTCTTTCAAGAATCATGTTTGTCTCTTCTCCCGTCGACAGTTACGGTTCGAGAAGGTCCAGGTGACATCGTTGTCAAACTTGCTGATGGACAACCACAGCGTGTCCCGCGTAAAACAGTGGTTTTGCCGTACACGTTCGACGGCTTCCAAAGTAATGACGAATTTTTGGTGTACGAGATGAATTATGCATTCGATTGCATCTTGGGGATACCGTGGCTGTCACGGTATCAGCCGACGATAGACTGGCTATCTCGGTCCGTCAAACGACGAAGCGGTTACGACGTAAGTGAAGTTTTCACTCATCTGTTGATAGCGCCATCCGATTGGCCTCACGTCAGGGTCGTGAACGAACTCGCCACGACTAGAAGTCAGCACAGAGAGAGCGATGGCCCTCTGTGTCCGGTATGTTCAGTCACACTGATAGAACCACAACACGAGGCGGTCGAACAGAGGTTCCCGCAAACCCAGACATCGGTCGAGCAGGGGCTCCCGATTCACAACGAGACGGTCGAACAGAGGTTCCCGCAAACACAGACATCGGTCGAGCAGGGGCTCCCGATTCACAACGAGGCGGTCGAACAGAGGTTCCCGCACACACGGACATCGGTCGAGCAGAAGCTCCTGATTCACAACGAGGCGGTCGAACAGGGGTTCCCGCACACACGGACTTCGGTCGAGCAGAGGCTCCCGATTGTAACCGAGGTGGTCGAGCAGAGGCTCCCACATACATTTGAGGCGGTCGACGACGAGCTCCCGCCTCTTATCGACGAGAATGAACGGGCTGTGGACTTAAATGTGAACGACGTGGTGGAGACAGAGCTCCCACATCTAGCGGGGGGTACTTCATCCTCCAGCGACAGCGACGTTCCAGCCTCGAGCAGTGGCTCAAGACGCAAGAGAAAGTGTAAACGCAAGAAAGGTGCACGCCGATCACCAAGACGACGAAATTCTCGCTCAAGCGCCGTTGACGATGATACTGTATTGACGGAATCCGTTTGTGCGCTTGAATATGTGGAAGGGTCTTCAAATCGTGGCCGCTACGTTGAGGTAGCGAGCCCTCCGTGCACTGTTGCAGAGATCACATCTCTATTAACCCTACCATGGAAAGATTTTCTTCACGACCTCAAGGCAGGCGACATCGAGCAAGTGTGCATCATATCAGCCGCCGAAGCAGCTAGTGGAGAAGTTCTGGAGGCTCGCCCAAAGAGCGCTGAGCCCAAATCAGCGCGCGAAGAACGTTTCGTGGCACAGTCTTGGGAAGCCCTTCGTGCTTCGGGCAACCCTGTCTATGATATCGCGCGTGAGTATGCCGACATCTTTCCGGAGAATATCCCCGCTGAGCTTCCAGCGGATCGTGGTGTGCGACACGAGATCGATCTCGTGCCAGGATCGAAGTATTGCGTGACGCGGCAGTGGCCGCTACCGCGTGACCAAGTCATCGCAATTGATGAATTTTTTGAGGGCCGCCGTAAGGCAGGACACGTCCGCGAAAGCATATCGCCACATTCGAGTCCGACTTTCTGTGTGAAGAAAGCCACCGGCGGTTGGCGCATCGTGCATGCTTTTAACAAGTTGAATGACGCCACGATCCCGGCTCAAACACCAATTCCTCGGAAAGACATGGTACTGGATACCATGTCCGGCAGCGAGATTTTTAGCGCCATAGACCTGACAGACGGGTTTTACCAGATTTTAATGAGGGACAGTGATATCCCGTTCACCGCTGTCAGCACACCGAGTGGGATGCTTTGGGAGTGGCTAGTCATGCCACAAGGCCTTAAGAATGCTCAAGCAACGTTTAACCGGATGGTGACACAAGTGCTTCGGCCACTACGTGATTTCGCTCCAAGTTATTTCGACGATATTTTTGTTCACAGCCGCGCTGAGCAACAACTCAGCGCTACGGAGGTCCACCTTCGGCATTTGAAACAGGTGTTCCAAGTGATGCGCGAGAACAAACTGTACGCAAATTCGAAGAAGTATGTCTTCTGTGTCCTCGAGATTCCAGTACTCGGTTTTTATGTCAGCAAGGAAGGTGTCCGCGCTGACATCTAGAAAGTGTCATCGATATGTTCATGGCCTACGCCTAGGAACCAAATTGAATTGCGACAATGGCTCGGCCTAGCTAATTACTTACATAAGTATACGAAGAACTATGCAGAACTAATCCAGCCACTATCGACTCTACTGAAGAAAGACGCAGTTGGTCATGGAAAGCTGAACATCACTCTGCCTTCAACTCTGTGAAAAAGAGCTTGTCTGAAGCACCAGTGCTGATGTTGCCTGATGATTCCAAGCCATTTCACGTGATCTGTGATGCGAGTAATTTCGCTATTGGATGTGCCCTTATGCAGTTTGACGATGAGGGCCGAGAGCGCGTCGTGAGCTTTCAGTCACGACAGATGAAACCCGCAGAGCGGAACTATCCGGTACATGACAAGGAACTTTTGGCTATGCGTTACGCGCTGATCAAGTTCAGAGTATATTTGCTCGGCGAGAAGATGTTTTCGGTCGATACAGATCACGCATCATTGCGTACCGCCTTCAAGACTCCCCACTTGTCCCAGCGTATGGCACGTTGGTTGTCATACTTCTCAGAGTATAATTTCGTGGTCTTTTACGAACCCGGCAAGAACAACATTCTTGCTGACGCGCTTTCTCGACGTCCCGATTATGATCCTCGACGTGACATGGGTCATCAGCCAGGCATTGCTGAAGACGAGGACGACGACATTTGTTTATGCTGTGCTGAGCAGGGGCTCAATGCAATGATTTCGACACCTGAGCTGTCAATCCGGACTCAAATCGCTGAGTCATATGCGAACGATTCATTCTACACGGGAATCATCAATTATCTTCGACACCCTAGTGAGGGTTCACTCGCGAAGTTGACGAAACCAACGCGTGACAACATCAAGCGGTACGCGCTTGATGGTACGCTGCTGACTTATACAATGGACGTTTTCGACCCACCGCGCGTCGTCATCCCTGCTGATGACGACCTACGCGCACGATTGGTGCATGAATTTCATGACACTCTAACTGGTGGTCATTTGGGTCGCGAGAAGACGTTCGCGGCCATCTCTCGTGTGTTTTTCTGGCCGCGTATGTACAAATACATCCAGAAATGGGTACGCTCTTGTGAAATATGCCAGCGTGTGAAGCCTGCGCCGTCTTCACAAGCTCCATTGCGTCCGCTTCCGATTGCCACGGAAGCCTGGCGTTCGGTCAGCAAGGATTTCATCTTTGGTCTCCCTCCGGACGAACAGAAACGCACGGGCGTCTTGTTTCTTGTGGATCTATTTAGCAAAATGGTGCACTTTGCTCCAGTCTCCGCGCACACTACGGCGGAGAAAACCGCGAAGATCTTCATCGATCTCATATTTCGACATCACGGCTTGCCTGAATCAATTGTTTCGGACCGCGACCCGCGCTTTACATCAGCTTTTTGGGCAACGTTGTTTCAACTATTGGGCACGCGACTGCTTATGTCTACGGCAGCCCATTCAGAGACGGATGGGCAAACGGAGCGCGTGAACAGAGTGCTTGAAGATGTACTACGCAGTTATGCGACATCGTTCCAGTCGTGGAGTTCGTTTCTCCCTCTCGCTGAATTTGCAATCAACAATGCAATTCATGCGTCGACTGGGTTAACGCCATTTTTCGTGAGCAACGCGAGGCCCCCTCGCGTTTCAGCGCATCTTGATCTTTCAGCTTCAGCACACCCAGTTTCTCAGCTTGGTGGGGGGGTATCTCCCGATGACACTACGCGAAAATTTTTGATGATTGGTAATGTTGAAGACAAGGTTGCTGCCGATGCAACTCATACTGTTAATTTCGTGGCCAATGGCATATCGAGTCCCGACGCGATGCATCCCATCGCGTCTCCCGTCGCTAATTTTGCTCCTAAAGAGTCCACTTCTCCTGTAAGTTCGGCTGCTGTGACCGAATTCCTATTACTACGGCAAAGTATCACGCGTTTTGTACGCGATGCACTCCAAGAAGCAGTGGATAAACAAAAGGAGAACGCGGACAAGCGAGGTCGAAAGAACTTGCTGACGTTCAAAGAAGGTGACAGAGTCTTACTATCGACAAGCGGATTACCAGACACGTCAGTAACGAATTTGGGCGCTAATAAATTAGCGCCAAGATATATTGGGCCCTTTCGGATTGTTGGAGTCCATGGAGATGCTTACACGCTAGACATACCTACCACTATGCGTTTGCACCCGACATTCTATGTCGGGCGCCTTAAGGCTTACCTGCCAGCGGATCTCCCTTTGGTCCTTCCTCACTCGTCTGTATCGGCTCAAAGTCCGACACCCCCTGCCGACGACGCTGACGACGACTGGGACCAAGTCCTAGACGAGCGCGAGCAGACTCGTTCTGCTGGGGTCCACCGAACGCAGCAGTCTCGAGCTGTCGCAGACGCTCCACCAAGCCCTGCTGCTCCCGTCGGGTTCTCTCGGCAGCCTCTGTCGCAGCTGCTGCACGATCTCGAGCCCTCTCGGCCATCTCACGGGCATCCAGAAGGCCGTTCATCGCCTCTTCAGTGTCAGCACGAAGGAAACGAAGCTCGTCACTCGACGGCACAGGCGCCCGATTATGAGAATCGGCGCCCAACCCAAGAAGCCTTCCGTCGTGATGCTCCTCCTCCCTTGGTAGATGCATCGGGTGAGCGACGCTGGATTGTGGACCGTATCGTCGGTCATGAAGACCCCACGCCTCTTGCCCCGAGTAGTGGCTCGGCGCCATCGAAGAGTCGTTCAGAAACGCATTACAAGGTCCGATGGTTGGGTTATTCACCAACGGAAGACACGTGGGAGCCTCGAAGTATGCTGGCTCACGATGTTCCTGACGTCGTTGAGGAGTACGAGACCAGTAAGAGGTCGGCGAACGCGACCGACGCTGCTGACTCCTTCCACGATCCCGCGAACCGTTACGTGCGTGAATTGGCGATCGACGACGATCTCCCGAGCGACTCCGACGTCTTCTACGAGGCTCGGGAGCATTTGGATACCTTGAAGGTCGAGAGCGACTACGAGAACGACCTCGGTGGTCGTAAGACAAACGATCTCGACTACATGAACGCCTCCATTGATCGACAGGGCGTTCCCTCATGTGACGCAACGCAGATACTTGGAGCTCTGAGAGGCTCCTCTCATAGCGTCCGATCCATGGTCGGATGTGCTAGGGCATTCCCCGTGCACACACCATGTCGTCCAATTCCTGCCGCATTGGTCGCGGTATCTCCATGTGACACCGTGGACACCCTTCACGGACATGGACGTAACACATGTGGAACCCATCACGAGTCAAATGACATACGCGTCGTCGTAAGTCTCCAATAGCGTGGTCGCCATGAGTACTTTCGCGTCCCTCGATCCAGGACGTGAAGGATGCCCCTTCACGTCGACTCGCGTTCCAACGTCTGATGAAGGCACACCAAGATCGTTGCAGTGCGTCTTCAGTGTATGTGTGATTCGTTCCCTTGCCTCGAACGTTACGGTATCGTGTGAAGAGATTCTTTATGGTCTCAAGTGATTCAGGTTGGTGCGCGCCTTCTAGGCTGTACAAGCCCCACGGCTTCAAGTCGTCATCCATGGTCTGCGGTGCACGCTCTCTTCGAAGTGTCTGATGACCCCAACTGTCGTTTGGGGTCGAGTCGCGTGGGCGTTCAGGATTCATGCTGCTCAGTTGTTTGTGGCTGAGCACTTTCGAAGACCAAGATGACGTGTCGTTGGAGTTCTCGTTGGGCTTTTCGTTGGACTATTCTTTAAGAAGAAACTTTCTGTGTATGGCGCTTACGTCACGGTAAGCGCAACTTAAAGAGGGGGGTGATGTAATGGGGCAACCCATTATATTAAGTAGTCATAGTTTTATTACATTATTACATACATTAAGTGTAGGCAGTATCCGGATAGCGGATACTGCGCGTCTATTTATTATTGGTTTATTATTGGGGTGCCAGACCCAATAATTAGCCAATAATAGTTAGTTCTGTATTTGAGTGGTTCCCATGAGCTAGGGAACATATTCGCACTTACTGCGAATTATAAAAAACACAAAAATACAAACAGAGTTAAATTTACCTTATAAATCACAGCGCTTCCTCAGCTTAATTATTAGTGTAAGACGGTAACGGGCTCTCACCCCGTTACAACAACCTACTTATTCTGATGACAGAATAAGGCGGTGCATCGTAACTTCACGTACACTCGTACGTGCAGAGGAAGACGGTAAGAAGAAGCGATTACTCAGTTAGAGTAAAAAGTAGAACTGTATTTAGTATAGTTAATGTCTGCAATAAATCACTATTTATCTTCATCTAACTATGTCTAAATACAAATGTGTAAATCAATTATCTGCTCACCACTCATTGCGTGCGTCTGTCGTGGCGCGTCTTCGTTGGTTGATATAATGGCCTATATCAACCAATTAGGAACTACTCGTAAGTGCTGCAGAATTTGTCCCTATGACAATATTCTGAGAATATAACTCTTATAGTTATATTCTATCAACAATTTCTAGTAAATTGTTATGTAACGATTCACCCCGTTACATCACCCCCCCCTTAACCATCAGTCACTTTAGTGACTGATTGACGAAATGGATACTCGTCCCAAATCATTTGGGACGGGGTTTGCACTTGTTGGTCCGAGTCCACTTCCCAACATTTCATCGCATGGTTAACAAGCCCATGCGATGTGCGAGCAAGGCCGCCGAGAGCGCATCCGCACGTCTCTGTGCGGACGCCGAAGCAGAAACCACAGCAACTGATGTCTCATCGGTTGCTGAAGCGACTCAGCCTGTGTCACTTGGTGATGCAGGCGCTGGTCATGAAGACACTCATGTCTTCACAGAGTATGAGCTCGGTGTCTCATACTCTCCTGATACGGAAGACGGATCCGTATCGACGGCGATCGAATCCAAGCCGCCTGCCAAGCGTGGCATGGATGATGCTTTGCGTCGTAGCATCTTTGGTTCATCTGATGAATCAGATGAACCATCGCCGAAGCGTAGGCGCTCGAGGTCGCGAGACTCGGGCGCTAACAGTGGTGTCGGTTCTCCTATGGACACCACTTCGCAACGAGGTGCCAGTACTTCTGTCGGCATATTGCAGGAAGAGCGGGATCGCAATGTCTTGCGTCTCGCTCCTGAGAAGAAGTCGTGGATGCCTCCCAAATCCGTCATGGATCACTTGTCGGCGACGACGAGTGATCGTTATCGAACACGGTTGTTCGATTCGTCAAGGATCCATCACCCTGACCTCAGCGCGAAAAACTATCGCGCTGAGAATGAATTCTTCATCGATGCTTTCTTTAGACATCGATGGTACAGTGGGAATCACAAACGTGATGGTCCCTCACTACTTCAGGCGTGGAACGCCTACATCCATAACCTCGAGGATGTAGGTCGTGACGCTTGGAACGACAAATTTATCAAAGCTCGTGATAAGTTTGAAAAGCGAACCCCGACAGGTGCACGCTACAAGCTGCATCGTCTGTCAAGGGAGAAAGGATTACCGTGCCTCTCTTGGGGAGACTCGTGCCCATGTTGTGTGAACAACTCTGCACGAGCACCTAAGGAGGCTTACCTCCTTACCAGCCCGTGGTGGCGCGTACGTGTCTCTACTGAGATGTACGAAGGGATTGACAACCTGAAATCCATTTACGACCGTGCCGGGAAGACTTTCTCTGGCGGTCCTTCTGCGGCACAGGATGTGCCGCGTCGTACTGCTCAACCAGACCCAGTACGTCGATCATCAGTTGGGAACGGGGCTCCCAAGTATCCCAGGACGGGGGATAGCCGCGCCACCGGACGAGATAACTCGTCCGACGCCCGTTCACGTCGCGGTGGTTCAACAGCTGCTCAACTAGATAGCGCTGGCCACCGCGAGAGTCCTCTAATGGAGGTGGAGGAGGAGGAAAGACGCTCTCCACACGATCATGTGTATCGGTGTGTTCCCGAGAGCTTCTTTGATCGCGTAACGCAAGGGTTACGCGACGATCTCGAACATGAGCGGAATAGGCGTCTCCAAATGGCGGACACTGCCTCGAAGCATCGAGCTGAGTTTGCCTTTGCTCAGCTTGAGAACGAGAGAGCTTTGACATCTCTTCGTGACGAGCTAAGGGTAGCTCGTGGGATTGTTGATCGGTCTCGGGCTGAGATAAATGCTCTTCAGACCCTTGTTAATATCCACCATCGGGAGCACAAGGCTCTCTGCGAGATGCTTGAGCGCAAGGGCGTTCTTCATCGGAAGAAGCAGCGTACTGATGGTACGGCTTAAGCCGACCAGCGTAAATCGTGGGATGCGTTCGAATCTTACGTGGCAACTCGATCGTGTATGCATTGCCTAGGCGGTGCAAAACACGAAAAGAGCCGATGTACTTGGGTAGTAGTTTACTGCTACCCAAGTTAGTCACCACATGCTTTGGTAGATTAACCGTAGACAGTAGGACTAAGTCTCCTTTATTAAATAAAAGAGTGTTTGCCCTTCCATTCTTGTCAGCGTTTTGCTTTTGCTTATCCATCGCTTCGGCGATGGAGTCTTGCACAAAACGGACTACCGTTTCACGAGCCAGTATGAACTCATCTGCTGACTCGTTAGCTTCAGTGCGCTGTGAGTGCACTACAGCAACATCAATCGTTTCTTCAGTGAGGGCTTCCGCACTCTCACGGGGATCATATTCTTCAGTGAGGGCTTCCGCACTCTCACTGGCATCATATTCTTCGATATCGATGTTATCGATATCGGCATCAAACGCAATGACATCTTCGTCAGAGCGTGATGAGCGTGAACCAAATCGGTTTTTGCTCGCGCGAGTCCCTCCCCCCCTAAAACCAGAGTTACACTCTAGTAAGGTGGGTACACGCGGATGGCGCAAGCCATTCACGTAAAACGGTGTATGGGTCGTGGACGCATGTACCGAGTTGTTAATGGCAAACTCTAACATTGGCAAAAACTCACTCCAACTCTTAAAGGAGTGTACGCATCCTCGAAGTATCTCTTCGAGGACACGACTGCCACGTTCCGTCTGACCATCTGACTCTGGATGATCAGATGTTGACATCTTCAAGCGCGTTCCGAGTGATTTGAACACGGAACGCCAGAAATCAGCAGTGAATCGTGGATATCTGTCTGATACGAGTTCACGGGGCAACCCATGAAGTCGGAAGATGGTGTCAATAAAGACACAAGCACAGCCACTTGCCGTGATTGACTCTGGTACAGCCACTAGGTGTACCATTTTGCTGAATCTGTCAACAAAGACGAGAATACCCGTATTCCCGCGTGCGTCTTTGGGTAACCCGAAGACGAAATCCATTGATATGGATTCCCAGCACTCAGCCGGAACCGGTAGAGGCTGTAAAGGTGCACGCAGTGAAGGACTTGACTTCACTCGTTGACAGACTTCGCATGCGCGAACATACTTTCGCACAAACTGATACTGGCGGGGCCAGTGAAAGTCTCGACTTACCGTGAGATATGTTTTCTCCCGACCACGATGTCCTCCTATAAGAGCTTCGTGATACTCGAACATGATCCGCAAACGCAGATCAGTATCATCTGGGATGACAACACGTGGTGTGTCACCAGAAATGGCTGTATAATACAGTAAACCGTTGCGAGTAGTGCATCGATCTGATTCAGATCGATACGCAGACGATAATCGTTTCAACGATTCTCGAGATGGCTGTGAGAGATGTCTCAACAACTTCACAATCTCATCATCTTGGGCGTATGCCCGCCTCACATCATCATACAACGTTGTAGATGGGACTGAGGACGTCATAACCGCAACAGTGACTGTCTCACTGTTGGGTTTCACCACTGTTCAAAGTCGGGAAGACGTGAGAGTGCATCAGCGACGACATTAAGTCGTCCTGGTTTGTACTCGACCGTAAAGTTGTATTCTGCAAAGAATGACAACCACCGCGTCATTCGTTGTGAAAGGTGCGGGCTGTGTCTACTGCTGTGCGTAACGACGCATGGTCAGTGTGAACAATGAAGGGTCTATCTCCTAATACATAGACTGAACTTCGCGAGTGCATACTTCATGGCAAGGAGTTCCTTGTCATGCACTGGATAGTTCCGCTCAGCTGGTTGCAGATGACGCGACTGATAGCAGACGACGCGTTCAACGCCTTCAAGATCGTACTGCATTAATGCACAGCCGATTGCAAAATCGCTGGCATCACAGACCACATGAAACGGCCTGTCCTGATCGGCTATTGCTAGTACTGGGGATTGTATCAAGCTCTGCTTGATACCATCAAAGGAGCGTTGACATTCAGCGTTCCATAACCACCTCTCGTTCTTTTCAACAAACGAGAGAGGTGTACAGTC